TGAACAGACAGTTGGATGATGGATGGATGGATGAACAGACAGTTGGATGATGGATGGATGGATGAACACAGTTGGATGATGGATGGATGAACAGATAGTTGCTGGATGGACTCTCAGCTACTACCACGCTCAGTTTTCCCCCAGTATCTCTATATTTGAACAAGTTAAAGCCATTTTTGTGTTTTTAAGGTCAGCTGGCTGTGGCGGCCATCTTGAATTGGGTCCAAAAGGTAATCAGTTTTTAACCAATTAAAATGTTTTAATTTGTCCAGTGGTTCACAAGATATTTCGCCAACAGACAAACCGGGTTAACATGAACACTTAATGCTACAGTTTAAAGTTAAAGGATGTTATAGAAGGAATGCTCAGCTACTACCACGCTCAGTTTTCCCTCAGTGTCTGTAGATTTGGAGAAGTTAGAGCCATTTTTTGTGTTTTCTAAGAAGCTCAGTTGGCTGTGGCGGCCATCTTGAAATGGGTTGACTCCCAAAACTTAAATCGGTTGTCTTGAAACATTTAAAGCTTGTTTTCCTAAAAGTTTTAATATAATCTGTCCACGTCGTTTATGAGATATTTAGCTAACAGTTTATTGAGTTGAATGTTAAACACAGATCTCATGCGATCAGTTAGCCTCCACAAAATGAAAACAAGGACCAGAGATAAATGAAACATGAAAACACCGGAAGTTGAGGATTGGAGCCCTTTGCTCTGAGTAAACAAACAAATATTTACTGACATCTCCGTACCTTTTCTGCAGGTCTGAGGGGATCAGCAGGAGCTTCGGATGCTGTTTGATCCTTTAATCTGACAACGGACTGATGTAAGACAAAAACAACCAGCAGGATGTGGGTCAGTCAAACTGTGCTGATAGCCGTCATCATTTCTTCAAGACATTTGAAAGTTGATCTTAAATAGAAGAAAAAACATTGAGAACCTTGTTGTTTAAAGCTGATATTTTCACTCCGTATCGTGTATGACTCAGTTCCTGCAGAGAAAAAGAAAAATCTACTTTGATCTGATTCATGTTCTTTTATTTTGTTGTTGGTGGGATCTGATTTTAAGTTTTGAGCACGGTCTTTAGGTTTTATCAAAGGAAAAAAACTATCAAATGTATATTTAATAAGTTATTTGGAGCACGAGACGAAGCACACAACAGAAGAAACCAAAGGATCCTGCTTTGGTCTTTTAAACCTATTAAGAAAACTGTGAAAAATAAACAAAAAATTTGAATCATAATCCTCCAGAACTTCTATATATTTTAAGAATTTTCAATGTCTTATTTGGGTAAAAAAAAAAAAAAAATGCATTTTTTTAACAAAACTACAGGATTTTATCAATATTTACTAACATTTAAAAACAAAAATGTATTCTACAGAGCTCCATTTTTCTCCTTTTGGTCGTCTAAAAAGGAGTTTTTATGCAGTTTGTGTCAGGTTTAGTAGAAAATGGTGCTGGATGTAGTCTGAACCCCGTCCTGGATCAGGTTTACTTCTGGATTTAATGCATTTTGTTTCAGACCAGAGCTTGTTATGAACCAACAGCAAACAGAGACAGAAGAAAGAGTTTAAAATGAACATTTCGTGTTGCTAAAAATGTCATAACTTTGATGGATAATTTGTTTCCACTCCACCGACTGAGTGAAATGTTAAACCGATGACCATTAAACAGATCAACATGTTGGACTCACAGCCTGCGTGGGTCGACGAGGCACCGCAGGAGTCTCAGCTCTCTGAAGCTCATTTCTTCTCATCTGGGAACAAAGTTTAAGGTTTAAATCAAACGTGAGGAACTCGAGAGTTAATGAAGGGACGAGTTAATTTACCTCTGAGGGCTTCGGCGGAGGATCAGGCTGAAACAGACAAACAAATAAAACTGGAGAGCTGTGAGAGTTTAACAGCAGCCGAAGCTTTAAAATACCGGTCAGTTTTAAGAAACAAATGTTAACAGAATGAACTCTGAGTGCTGAGGGACGCTGAAGTTTGATTAAGAGGTTTAAGCAGCAAAACACTAGCTAAAGCTCAAAACAAATGATTCGCTAGATGCTAAAAGTAGCTAAACACTAGCTAAAAGCAGCAAAAGACCAGTTAAAAGTAGCAAAAAGCTAGCTAAAAGCTCAAAACAAATGATTAGCTATAAGCTAAAAGTAGCTAACCACTAGCTAAAAGCAGCAAAAGACCAGTTAAAAGCAGCAAAGAGCTAGCTAAAAGCTCAAAACAAATGATTAGCTAAAAGCTAAAAGGAGGTAAACACTAGCTAAAAGCAACAAAAGGACAGTTAAAAGTAGCATATAGCTAGCTAAAAGCTCAAAACAAATGATTAGTTAGAAGCTAAAAGGAGCTAAACACTAGCTAAAAGCAGCAAAAGA